AGTTGGGGGGCGGTAAGGTACTGAACGCAAACCCTAAACCCTAAACCCTAAACCCTAAACCCTAAACCCTAAACTCGAGCTCACAAACCCTAAACCCTAACTTACAAAAAACCCTAAACCCCAATAATACCTAAAACAAACTCTAATTACCAAACCCTAAACCCCTATTAACAAACCCTAAACCCTAAACCCTAGTCAACAAACCCTAAACCCTAAACCCTAAACCCTAAACCCTAAACCCTAAACCCTAAACCCTCACGTAGGCTCTTAGAGTTTTTATCGAAGCGGTTTGTTGAGCTCACGGCCACCCAATGGGCCCACTCGCGGTACACTGGATCATGCCTGCAACGTAAACCCTAAACCCTAAACCCTAAACCCTAAACCCTAAACCCTGGAGAGCATGCAGCCCAACCCCTTGACATCTAAACCCTAAACCCTAAACCCTAAACCCTAGAAAAGGAACGGAGTCGAAAGACCCCCTCAAACCACAAACCCTAGCCGCTCCCCTCTCCCCCCCAAACCCTAAACCCTAGAACCCCGTAAACCCTAAACCCTAGAAAACCCTAAACCCTAAACCCTAAACCCTTGATACCTGGAGGGGGCATCAGGGTCCGTCATAAGCAGAACAAATTGTGTTTTTTTTGAGGGTTTAGTGGAAACCACCACGAGAGGAGGGTTTGCGGCATTCGCGGGAGAAACAGAAGAACCCCAAACCCCTATCTCGTCCCCAAACGAAACCCTCATCTGCAACCACAAACCCTAAACCCTAAACCCTAAACCCTAGAAAACCCTAAACCCTAAACCCTAGAAAACATTAAAACCCTATCTCGTCCCCAAACGAAACCCTCATCTGCAACCACAAACCCTAAACCCTAAACCCTAAACCCTAAACCCTAAACCCTAGAAAACATTAAACCCCTATCTCGTCGTCAAACGAAACCCTCATCTGCACCCACAAACCCTAAACCCTAGAAAACCCTAAACCCTAGAAAACACTAAACCCTTGACCCCAAACCCCTATCTCGTCCCCAAACGAAACCCTCATCTGCAACCACAAACCCTAAACCCTAGAAAACCCTAAACCCTAGAAAACACTAAACCCTAGACCCCAAACCCCTATCTCGTCCCCAAACGAAACCCTCATCTGCACCCACAAACCCTAAACCCTAAACCCTAAACCCTAAACTACGAGCGCTGCATACTGCAGCACAGACCCCAACCGACAAACCCTCTACACCGCGTGAAGCAACAGCAGCAGCAGCAGCAGCAGCAGCAGACGCAGCAGCAGCAGGTGCAGCCAAAGCAGCAGCAGCAGCAGCAGCACATGCAGCAACAGAAGCAAGAGCAGCAGCAGAAACAGCAGCAGCGGCAGCAGAAGCACCGCTACCACCACCAGCACCACCACCACCATCACCAGCACCAGCAGCAGCAGCAGCAGCAGCAGCAGCAGCAGCAGCAGCAGCAGCAGCACAACAACAACAGAAGCAACAGCAGCAGCAGAAACAGCAGCAGCGGCAGCAGAAGCACCACCACCATCACCACCAGCAGCAGCAGCAGCAGCACCAGCAGCAGCAGCAGCAGGAGCAGCACCAACAGCAGCAGCAGCAGCAGCAGCAGCAGCAGCAGCAGCAGACCTGTAGATGCAGCACTTTACATTCATGGAGCGTCAAGACATCAGGAATTATCTTTGGGCCTTCTAGTGCAGCACAATCCACCTCTTGCTGCTGCTGCTGCTGCTGCTGCTGCTGCTGCTGCTGCTGCTGCTGCTGCTGTTGCTGCTGCTGC